CTTTGTTTTCCGTTTATTAATAAATATATCTATTTTTGTTAAAAAAAATTTAATTTTGAAAAATTAATAAAGGAAATTTTATCCTTTTTTTTAACATGGGAAATTTGGAGAAAAGGGTATATTCGTAAGTAATTTTTCAAAATTCATTTAACTTTCAAATCCGAAAAAGTAAAGAAAAGTCAATTAGTGAGAGTAAAACTCTCAACCACTTGATTTCAAGCTCTTAAATTTGATAGTGAACCATTTGATCCATTAGACTGGTTCAAAAAAAATTTATAATAATAAAAGAATCATATATGTTACATTTTAACAAATTTAAACGGATAAAAATAATTTGAATCAATTTAAGGTATATAATACATAAATTTTGGAAATAAATATACTCTCCATAAAGATACCATGTAATATATAGTGCTTATAACCTATATTCATATCAAAGAGTGTGAGTAATTAATAATATTCTAAAAATAGGTTCCTATAATTTATTTCATTATAGCGTAGGTTTGCAATTGGTTATCTGAACTACAAAGAGTGGTTGTTTGGAAATATTTAATTGGGAAATGATTTTGAAACAATTTTTTTATATTATTTTTTTGATATAATTTGATTTATTATTTAAATGATTAGTTTTTTTAATTCATATGGGAGCTGTGATATTGAATGCAGAATGTGGAAGTTATATAAAAAAATAATATAAAAAAATAATATAAAAAAATGATCTTTATAACATCAATTTATTTAATAAGTATAAGTACTAGTACTTTCCGAGCAATTAAACTGCCCTAAATTCCTTCAACCCTAGACATTAGAAGCCTATATATTCTCACCTTATGACAAAAAAAATATATTGCAGAGACAAACCATGGCTAATTCTATCATGCTTTTCCCTGTCCCTTTGGTAGCCTCTTTTTCCTCTATTGATGGTGCCCGATTTACCGTCAACCTTATTAATTCCCCGATGCCATGGCATCAATCCTTACAAGGCTACCGTGGCGATGTTGTGGTTGACACTAGCAACTTCGCCCAGTTTATGGTGAATATTTCACTCGGTGAGCCACCGGTTCCCCAACTCCTCACCATGAACACCGGTTAGCAATCTCGTGTGGACCCAGTGCCTCCCTTGCACTAACTACTTTAAACAATTTCCAACCCTTTTCGACCCTTCCAAATCATCCACATACAAAACTTTACCACGCACTTCACCATCCTGCACAGTAGTTTCCTCGGATAACAAGTGCGACTCCAATAATAATTGCAAGTTCTACGTGGGTTACACTGACGGATCCACCGCAAAAGGGGTTATTGCAACTGAAAAAGTTACGTTGACGACGTCCGATGAAGGTATGGTCTCTATCTTGGACGTGGTGGTTGGATGCGGACATGACAATCATGAAACCTTTGAGCAGACTAGTGGGATTCTTGGTCTAGGGCCGGAGAGTATATCTTTGGCCAGTAAATTAGGGTCCAAATTTTCATATTGTATTGGCAGTATAAGGGATCCTCAATGCCTATAACCAATTGATTTTAGGTGATGATGCCATTTTACAAGGAGATAACGCCCCACTAGAATTTTTTAAGTCACGTTACTATCTTACCATGGAAGGCATACGTGTTTGAGAAAAAAGTTTGAATATTGATCCTGGGGCCTTTTAAAGGACAACATCGGTGGAGGGTGGTGTGGTTATTGACTCTGGGACCTCCCTCACGGTGCTCAATGAGGCTAGCTGCTTATGAAGCACTCAGCACGGAGGTGACTAGTTTGCTGCAAGGAAAGCTAGAACGCGTGAACCATCCAACTTACTTATGCTACAAGGGGGATGTTAGCCGAGACTTGACGGGTTCTCCGGTTGTTACTTTTGAGTTTGCTGGCGGGGTGGAGCTAGGATTTGACGTACAGAGCTTGTTTCTTCGGAATGGATCAGGGGAGTTCTGCATAACTGTGAAAAAGTCTCCCCCGGGCTACAAGAACAAGAATATGATAGGGGTAACCGCACAACAGAATTACAATGTAGGGTATCATGACCTTGTGGGGAAAAAGGTTACTTTCCAAAGGATTGATTGCCAGCTTCTTGAAATGTCTATCAATTAAAATAATTAAAATAGAATCTATTTATTTTATTATATACCTTTTTTTTTTTTTTTTGTTATGAGATTCATTTTAATTTTTCTTTCTATTTTAAAATTTGAAATAGAAGTCTTTATTTGATAGAAAGGATGAGTGTAGTGCATCTTTAGACGTGGGAAAACCTTGCATCAGCTCATGTTTCGCTAGGTCAACAATCTAAGTAATTTCAATGATAATTTTTTGAATTTAACTCACATGATATATAAGTGGGATAAGGTAAAAAATAAGGGTGAATTACCTCTTCTTATGTAACTAAGATTAAAAAAAAAAAATCGTTTAGCCATTAATTAAGAATATTTTTTTAATAAAAAAATAAAACACTAAACTATTTCCTTGTCACTACAAAAAAAAAAAAAATCTTTTGGGACACCTTTTGTTATAACGATTTATATCTTTTTCTCTTTTAGTTTGCCTTTTCTTTTTCTATCTTTCAATCATCCATTCCATACCCATCTCTCACAATCTTCCTACTACAAATGAAGGAAAAAAAAGAAAAAAAGAAAAAGAAAAAAAAGAAGAAGCAAGACTAGATCTCCAGCTCCTTTCAGGATTTGTGATCTTCCCTAGTACCTATCAATGTCCTTTTATATATGAGGAAAATGAGCGTGTATACACTTAGTTCAATATATTTTTTGATATTTTGGTTTTAGTTATTAAAATATAATATAAATATAAGTAATTCAATCAAAACTTTTATCCTATATGTATGGTTGTATTTTTAAGTTAAGTTTGTTTAATTTTAGACCAAAAATTTTTTTAATGTATATTATATGGTATGTTAAATCAAAACATGTATTAATAAAAATATAGAAGAAAAAAGACTAGAAATGACCAAGAGGATGGGTCTTTTTTTTTTTTTTTTTAATGTGAGGATGGACCTCTTGAAACTTACAAGAACAGACAAAAATATGCTTAAGATAAAAACAAAAATGAAAATTTCCATGCTTTGAACTACAGTTACAAAATTTTTGCAGTTGACGAACATGGCTCTTGAGAATCACTAATATTAGCTGCAGCAGTCCCATTAATATATCATTTAAAAAATTTTAAATTAGGATTAATGAATCCCATTTGATCGACCCAACATGCCATTCACAGATATACATTTTTTAATTTTCTTACTTTTAATTTAAATTTAAAAATAATAAATTTTTAATAAATATATTATAAAATGTGTTAAATCAAATAATATATTAGTTATTATCTTCTTTCATCTAAAAAAAAGATAAAGTTTCAATCTTTCTTAATGATAACTTACTAAAATAATATAATTTTAAGA